AAAGATGGTGAATCGGGTCTGTGTTTTTGGCAGGAATCAGAGACAAATGGAAAGGAAGCAGCATCTCTTGAGTTTGGGGAAGAAAATCCTGTGCAGGACAGTCGTTTCGGGAGGTACTAAATATGAATGACCAAGCCTGATTTTATTCATCCTTAAAGGTCTTTGGGGAAAGCTTGTTTTAAAGTCTCCAAATATGTTACAAGGATGGGTTGAACCAGATCTTTGGAGGTTAAGCTATTATAGCAGGGGTCTTCAAATGTGGCAACTTTCAGATATGTGGCTTCAGTTCCCAGAATTCCTCAGCCTACCTGGCAGAGGAATTCTGGGAGTTGAAGTCCACAAGTCTTTAAATTGCCAAAGTTTGGAGACCACTAAAATTACACAGTAGGGACAGGGCTATGATTCAGAGTCCCTGAAGTTGACAATTCACTGGTGATGGGATCTTTAGCTACCTGTCTCATCAAGATCTAAACAAATCAAACAGATTCAGCTTGCAGAACACAGTCACCGAGCTATACGGGCAATCTCTAATCTAATAAATATCTAAAATAGGACTTCGCAAAATGATGTATAACATCCCTTCTAGATGTCCTTTAACGTTGATTTTATTGATGTGCTTTTCAGCAGGTTCAAGAACGTGACTCAACCTTTCTCTAAAGTAAAGGGATTTTGCAAGGCTCATCGTGAATTACTCCACAAGATCTTCTTAGGCATCTTATGTGCAGGTCAGTCTTTCACTCTCTGCTCGAAAATGGCGATCCACATGACCACAGGAAGCTGCAACTGTGATAAATACAGGTCAGTTGCCAAGTGCCTGAATTTTGATGGCATGATCGTGGAGATCCTTCTGATGGCTGTAAGTGCAAGGGCTTTTTTTTCCAGTGGCATTGCAATTTTAAATGGGTCACTAAATAAATGGTCATAAACTGAGGACTACCTATATTCCAGCCAGTGCTGGAACTTCTGCCCCAAACCTTTGAGAATGGCACCCATCTAAATGAGGTATAGGGACCAGCTGAACCTAATTTGCAGCGGTTTCTGATGACTTGAGACCTTGGGCTGTTTGATGCTTTGATGTCTTGATGTTGAATGCCTTGAGCCTTGGTGGTGCATTGGTCAAAAGGCAGTATTGCAGGCTAACTCTGCCCGCAGCCAGGAGTTCAATCCTGACTGGCTCAAGGTTCACTCAGCCTTCCATCCTTCCGAGGTTGGTAAAATGAGGACCCAGATTGTTGGGGACAAGACAGAGGCTGACTCTGCAAACCGCTTAGAGATGGCTGTAAAGGACTGTGAAGTGGTATATAAATCTAAGCGTTGTTGCTATTCTCGTTTTAGGCTACCTGGCCTACTTCATTGCTGCTTGTTACCTGGACTACCAACGAGCCTTGGCACTGATCATTTTAACATGCCTGGTCCTTGCTTTCCTGGGTTATAGCACAGTCAAAAAATATTTGGGAGCCAAGATTATCCAGATGTTGAGCCCCTGCATGAAATGCTGTCAGAAGGCCTGGCCGTGGTTGAAATGGTAAGGGGCTGACTGGCTGCACAGATCAGTTTTATGGTCAGGTCTTGTTCAAGAAGCCATGGCGAGCCAATCTTCACTCTACTCCTTTGGATAGTAGAGCATTTTTAGAACATTGAGCTGGTGGTTGGGTTGGGTGACCCTAAAGGTCAGTTTCCATCCTATGACTCTATGACAGGGGTGGGCAAACTTTTTGGCTCGGGGGCCTCATTGACTTTTAAAATTTGACAGACGGGCCGGGTCAGCACAAGATACGATACGTATAAAAAACTGCAAAATCTCCGCAAAATCAAGTCACTGCGCCTAATGCACCACTGGTGTTGAAATGCCTGTCATTACAAGTCAAAATCAAATGAATGCAATCATTCAATCATTCACATCAAACCTTAATTCTGTACCAATCTTCGGCGGGCCGGATTAAAAAGACCAACGGGCCGGATGTGGCCCGCGGGCCGTAGTTTGCCCACCCCTGCTCTATGATCATGGTGGAATAAATACAATGCAATGCAATACACAACACAACACAATGAAATAAATAATATAAGTGACTCTGGACTCTTCCCTAGGATCCTCAGCCAGGCAAGTAAAATATAAATATTCTACCACAGAATATAAATATCAATATTGTGGAAAGTAAGATGAGATAAATTAAGTATTACAATAAAGACTTTTCTTATATCCCAACCTATTATCTTTTGTCGTCCCCCCCCCCCCCCCCCCCCCCCCCCGACCCTTATCAAGAATTAATTTTTAAAAAATGTCTTTTTGTAGATGTATATTTAATCACGCCAATATTATTCTGCTTCCCTTGTAATTTTCTAGGGTTTTGTGTGCCATTATTCTAATTGCTTTGATCACATGGCTGGTTCTGGACGTGTCCCAAAGGAAAGAACAGCTGGTCTCATTGGGTGGCTTCTGTGTGCTGATCTTCTTGTTATTTCTCTTCTCCAAGCATCACATGGCTGTAAGCACCATCATTGGGGGTTTTTTTTGGTTTGGTATCTTAAACCTAAACAAGATTCAATATAATAGGTCTTTGTCTTTTGCTGCTTCTTCTTTCTTCACTCTACCTCCAGTCCCACTTCACAGAGCAGTCGATAAATTCTCCATGATGTTGGCTTGGGTAGAAGTCACTTGTTCATTGAAGACAGTCAATTGTTTCTCTGGAACTTGGTTTGATCTGCAGCATTAAGGAAAGTTTGAGTTAAGGCGACGCTGAGCGCTGATTGATTTTTTTCCAATCCTATATTTGACTGCCTTTGCTTCTTTGGCTACTGAATGTATACGGAGATTCTCAGTCCTCCATGACTGTCCCAAAAGTGCTTTTCCAAAAGTGAACCTGGTTTTGTTTTTCCTTTGAAGACCTTTCGCTTCTCATCCAAGAAGATTCTTCAGCTCTGACAAAGAGTCCAAGAAGCTTCTTGGATGAGAAGCGAAAGGTCTTCAAAGGAAAAACAAAGGCCAGTTGCCTTTTGAAAGAGCACCTTTGGGACTTTGGCTACTTAGTTCCAGAGACCAATGTGGTTTAACCTCAAGGCTTCCATCCAGCAGTGGGTTCCTACCTGTTCCACTACTGGTTCAGGGATCGTGCGTGCGTGTGGACCTAACACATGCGCACCTAACAGCTTTCCCCACACCAGCTGAGGTCTACAGCACCAATGAGCTGAGAGGATAAAGAAGAGAAAGGTGCAGGGGCAGGTTGGAGGGATGATTCTGCCTTTTATCTTCTTTACCGGTTTGGGTGAACCGGTCTGAACCGGTAGCATACCACCACTGCTGCCGTCTCTCCAATGTGCAAATCTTCTATCTCTCGTGGCTCTCCAGAAAATGTTCACAAAATGTCCTGGATTTCAGGTACCCTGGAGTGCTGTGTTATGGGGCCTTGGTCTACAATTTGCCCTTGGACTTTTCATCATCCGAACAGAACCTGGATTTCAGGCTTTCCAATGGCTGGGCAATCAGATTCAGGTATGGTAGAATCATGTTTGAAGGCGTTATATCCCATGTTCCGCGGAGACAAAAATCCCCACCTTACAAGTCACACGTCCACTAGCTTCGGTTCAGAAAGGTCCCATGGGAACCATTAGCCAAATCAACTGTTTGGTTTGACACAAGACAACGTCCAGCTTAGGTTGACAAAATCTAGTGGGGAAGGAGAAGACTTCGACCAATTTTCCAGCAACAAGGACAATGATTTTGAGTGGCTATTATGATTATCATTGACTTTGCACTTGAGCTTGTGTAGATCCAAAGGCTGCTAAAATGATAAGGGATCCTTCGTGTTGAATCACAGGTTGTGCCATAATTTTTTTTAAAAGTTGTTCTGAGCCAAGCCTTATTCAAAGCAAACAAACGCCAAACAGAGATAAAAGCAAAAGTTTTTTAATGCCTCTCTGTGAATTCTGTTGCTTCACGCTTAAAAGGCTATTAAAACTAATTGTCTTTGATAAGAACGAGCCTTGCCAAGGTTGTGCAAGGCTGCCAAGAACACTCGATTAAATTGCAAGGAAATAATCAAAACCCAAAGTCTCCAAACACAAACCAGGATAGTCTGAACTTCCACAAGGCTTGAAGTGCAAAAACGTCTTTGCTTCCTGCAAAGAATCCCATCTCCGAGGGCTGGCTTTTATCCCTTAAGGGAGGGGCCATTACTTGCAGCCTTACTCTCGAGTTGCCCGTGCTGCTGCAGCTGCTCTTTCCTTCGAGCAGCCCTGCATGCATGCATGCGCAAGGCATCACTGCTGCCAGCCTCCATAATCTCCATGATGGTCCTGGCCCCATCCCTGCGTCACAGGCAGGCCCCTCATCCGAGTCCTCGCTCTCTGAGGCCTCGGCCATCCACACCTGCTGCCAGTGAACCACAACAAAAAATGAACATGACTCTATTTCCAAACATTCCTTCTAACATTGTTTCCCTTACAGGCATTTCTCAACTACACGACGGCAGGATCCAGCTTTGTCTTTGGCGATAAACTGATTCAAGAAATTTTTGCCTTTCAGGTGAATTTAGATAAACATATTCTCCCTCTCCTCCTCTTTCTGGTCCCCGTTTTCTCTTGATCTCCTTCTTGAAGGTCTTAAAAAATGGCTTCCCAACTGCCTTGCCCAGGTCTTTGATTCTTTGTGCTGGAGTGAAAGATGGAGGGGACACCTCGGCTGGGTTCATTCTGTGTCCTTGCCTCTGTCCACTGCTTCTGTCAATTAGGGAGTGACAAGAAAGCATCACGCCCAAAGATCCTCCAAACAGGATGGGAGCAACTTGCTTTCTTCCCAAATTGGACAGAGCAGATCAGGAAGGGGTTCCTCACATTGTTTTCTGCACAAGCGGCCCATCAATTTGCAGATGTATTTTTGAACACTGGTGTCAGGGTTCCGAGGATTGCCCTGATTAAATCATGAGCCTCAAGCCAAGCTTCAAAAGCATTCAAAAGATTTATTAGGAGCAACATATCCGGCACTAACCCCGTATGAAGCCAACTCTGAGACACGTAATTTACTATCACCTATGACCCTGTTCCCCCCCACTCCATGTGTCATATATCAGATTCTCCAACTGAAACACATTCCAGGCTGGGTGTCATCAATCACGCTCTCCAATGAAAGATTTTCCCGGGCAGAAGATCCAGTAGCCTAGGCTACAATCTCCGCAAGATAAGCGTGGAATGTGCTTCATCTGCCATACTGCTCCGTCAGACCTTTCTCCCCCTCCTTCTAATGTCAACTTGGGAACAGGCAAGAAGAATGATTTACAAGTTGACAACTTAGTCTGTTCAGGGTGCCCCATGTTTCACTAGCAACCTAAGTTTATTCCGATGGAATTTTTCCAATGCTTCAAACTCCGCAACTACCACATGACTTCTCTCTAGGAGGGTGTGATACTTTCCTCCAATTATCCTTTTATCATTAATTATCTTGGCTAGGGTGGGTGGGATTTGTCAGTCAGCAACATCTGGAAAGCTGCAGCTCTGTGCTAAAGCTGCCTACTGTTCTATTCTGTCTCCAGGTACTGCCTATTATTGTCTTCTTCAGTTGTGTGATGTCCATCCTCTACTACTTGGGAGTCATGCAGTTTATAATCCTGAAGGTAACGCTGAGTTTTAGGAATTCAAGAGTAAGCTTATAATTGTCCTAATGGAGCTAAACGGTATATTGATCACCCATATATACCATACGTCTGGCCATGAGGCACCTGGAAAGGCCAAGATACGTTATAAGGTACCCAAAGAGAGTAATATTACTTCTTCCGCTATTAGGAAGTACTAACAGAAGGGACACAACACGATAATTTACAAGGAAAGAGTTTATGATGAAGCACAAAGTGCAAAACAAAAAGTTGCTTTGTCAAATCAATGGGGGTATCAGAGATTGAAGAAGAGAGAGAAGCACGGAAGATGCCACCTCAAAATGAACGTCAGGGAATCTTGGTTGATGAGAAGAGAGCACCACAAGATGAGGGCAACACAGGTAGTGGGGTTAATTCGACTGACTGTGTCCTCTCTGTGGACTTCATTTCAAGTCAGACCCCACGGCTCCATCTATGTCACAGTGTAGACCAGGGGTCTCCAAACGTGGCAACTTTAAGACTTGGGGACTTCAATTCCCAGAATTCCTCAGCCAGCTTCCCCAAGTCTTAAAATTGCCAGGTTTGGAGACCTCTGGTGTAGACCGACCTTCTGGAAGAAGCTGTCATGGAAGAACGTCCTACTGAGATGGATCAGAGTTTGGACCAAAGGTTCTGGAACGCAAAGCATATGCTTGCCACTGAGCTACCGCCCCAATAGCTAAGGATATCTCATTGCTGCGAGACTGTCAAATGAATCAGCAAGATATTAAATCTAGGATATTCTGGGCAACGACCATTAACCTGCCAATGTCTTCCAACTCACACTCTCCAACCTTCTTCCAACAGTTGTCCTGGCTCCTGCAAATCACAATGGGTACAGCGGCCACCGAAACTCTGAGCGTGGTGGGGAATATATTTGTGGGGATGGTAAGTGGTCTTGACCTTCCTCCATGAATCTCCATGAATGGTCCTCTCCATCTTCTCCTCTCTGTACGAACTTCTGATTTCTTTCTGTTTTTCATTTTCCAAAGCTATTTTGTTTCTGCATTTGAGAATAGTCTCCTTTCTCCCCCGCCAATTTGTGTGTATGTGTGTGTGGGGAAATTGCTAGGAAAAGGGGTACATACTTTTGAGTGCATGTCCCTGAATATGTGCGTCTTTGCCTGTTTCTTCGATGTAATCTTTCTTCCTTTTATTCTGCTTTGCAACACTTAAAGAAATGCAGATTGTAGAACTAGCTAATGTTTGGATTATATTTTGGTTCTGAGGTGCAAAAACAAGGTATGTTTGCATTCCAATGTATTTCTCTTCCATTTCTTTGTAATGTGAAACAGTCACAAAATGTGGACACTTTCTTTCTCATAGTTTATTCCAGAACTCCAGTATTTTATTCTCCTGGGCTGTGTGTTTAAGCAGAACATGGAACCATGCTATCTACTTGTTGTTTCTGACTAATAGAAATCTGAGACATATTTCTAGGGTCTGCAGAGATCTTGAAAAAATTCTATTTGGATTTATCTTCTTGTCCTCCAGACCGAAGCACCATTGCTCATCCGTCCCTACCTGGGGAATATGACACGCTCAGAAATCCATGCTGTGATGACCGGTGGCTTTGCTACCATTGCTGGTAGTGTGATGGGCGCATACATTTCATTTGGGGTGAGTCTGATGAAATATGATGTCCATTCAGTCAAATCTAAGGGCCAGGTCTCTCCACATCTTGGCTTTTAGGTGCTCACTAAGAAAGGATTTTTCAAAATGACCATCAGAGCATTTAGTATTTCATATAGTATTATTAACACGCTCTGATGCTAAGGAGTTCTGCTCCTCCTCCCCATCTGGAAAGAAATCTGTTCCAAATGCAAAACACAAGCAGAGGAGAGGAGTTTCAGTTTTAGTTTCAGTTTCACAGCAGCAACCAGCTTTAGTCCAGAATAGTTGTGCTAAGCCACACCCAGGCTACTTGCTGTCTTCTTCTTGCTCACACAGCAAATACTGTTTCAGTTTCCATGTTTCAGTTTCCAAACAGCCCTCAACTTTCTCACACACTGACAGGACGCTAGTCAGATGAATACCGATGGATGCTGGTAGGCAGAGGCAGAAATTTTTCCCCTTATTTTCCTCCCCAAAGACTAAGCCTGATCACATAGTTTTGTAGCGAAGCATGGGTATCGAGCTAGTAAGAAAATAAATATCAACAGCTGAGTCAAGAGTGGGAAATTCTTGTACAGCAACATTTTCTGTTGCACAAATGATATGGAATCATCGGAGGTATCATGGCAGATTATACACACTTTGGTGTTTTTCTGAACCAGGCTGTTTGACTGCCTACAGGTTCAATATTGGGACATTCTTTAGGTCCTTCCTAAGTGTAGGCCTTGGGGTGAATTTCATTTAATCAGATGAAGGTTGTCTAGAAAAGGCATTCGATCGGGCCAAATGGGAATTGGATGAACATCCAGAGGACATGGGTTGGAGTAAACAACTTTTTTAAAAAAATAATTTTTATTTTTTGAACAAACATACAAAAACAAAAAATAAAACATAAAACCATCTTCCAGTTACATACAGTGTGTTGGTTGGTTACAAGTCTTTTATGCTTCATCTCCATAGTCCTCACATATAATTTGTATAAATTCTCATGTTATCCATCGTGTGTGTGTGTGTGTGTGTGTGTGTGTAATCATTGTTAATAATAATATATTTGACTATAACTATTATTCCATCATTTTATGCGAGATATTCAACATTTTAGATTTATTTATATTATAACATTCATTACCTCATCATAAATCCATCCAGTAATAATACATCCTTATGTTATATTCTCTATAATTCTATTATCCTTATATTGTGAAATTCTCTAAAATACAGTATTTCATTTCCATATTTTTAATCTAACCATTGATAAAATAAATCCCATATCTTGTAATATTGTTTGTCTTCTTGTTCTCTAATTTCAAATGTCAATTTACTCATTTCAGCACATTCCATTATTTTCTTAATAACTTCCTCCTGCATTGGTATTTTCTCATTTTTCCAATTTTTAGCAAATACAATTCTAGCCGCTGTTAATACATTTACAATCATGGAGTAAACAACTTTTGACAAAGCCAATTTATTGCAACTCAGTTTAAGGCTAGATATTATTTTATCTTTAATTATAGTCCGGACTTTGGTCTGAGTTGTTTTATCAGGGGAATGGGGAGGAAATTGTAGTAAAAGGCCATTTTGTGATGTGTGATTTGGTATTATCAGTATCATATTCTAATAAACTGTGTAGAAATCTAGGCAAAAAGTCTTGTATTTCCCAATCAGCCTTTTGATTAGAACTGATTGGAAGAACGTATAATTATTCCACAGCAAAGAATAATTGCATCATGCTTTTTTTTAAACTGTGCTTGGCAAACTTTTAAACTACTGTTTGAAAAGGGAAAGAATCCGCAAAGCTCCAGAGTTAAACCTCTTGGATTAAAGAATACCATGCTTGTTGACTCTTCTGTGGCAATTTGTGATGCTTCTTGCAGATTGATGCCTCGTCTCTGATGGCAGCTTCAGTAATGGCGGCACCTTGTGCTTTAGCTATGGCCAAACTTGTCTACCCAGAAGTGGAAAAATCTCGATTCCAAAGCCAGGAAGGCATCAAAATTGCCCGCGGGTGAGAGCAGCTAAAATCCATGAGGTTCCCGTGGCTTGTAGAAGGATCTGGGAAGCAGGTTTCGAGGAGGAGGAGGAGAGAAAAGAGGAGAATGTGTCGAACACAACTGGATGGGGAGAAGGTTGGAGAGATACAAAGGGAAGAAGGTGGGGCCTCAGTTTCCCAGCTGTTTTTACCTGGGCTGGCAGGAGGACCATGGCACAGGTCCCATCAATTAAAGAATGCCATCTCTCTCTGTCACAGTGCCTGCCTTTTGAAACTCCACAGCCTCTGAGTGGAATTAAATTGGCCCTGACTCTGTTAAGCATGGTTTTTTTTTTCTCAGCACAAATCTCAGTTGTCTAGGAAGGTATGGACAGCATACAAATTTAAAAGGGAGGGAGGGAGGAAGGGAGGGAGGGAGGAAACAGAGAAGGGAGAAAGGGAGGAAAAAGGAAGGAAAAAAGGAAGGAAAAAAGGAAGGAAAAAAGGAAGGAAAATTGAGAGAGAAGGGAGAGAGGAAGAAAGGAAGATGAAGAGAGAAGGAGGGAAGGAAGGAAGGAAGGAAGGAAGGAAGGAAGGAAGGAAGGAAGGAAGGAAGGAGGGAGGGAGGGAGGGAAGGAAGGAAGGAAGGAAACAGGGGAGGAAGGAAAGAAAAAGGAAGGAAAAAGGGAAGGAAGATGGAGAGAAAAGGGAGAGAGGAAGAAAGGAAGATGAAGAGAGAAGGAGGGAAGGAAGGAAGGAAGGAAGGAAGGAAGGAAGGTAGGTAGGTAGGTTCTGGACCACCTCTCCATTTCCTTCTCTCTTTGTACCTTCCTGCAGGGAGGAAAAGAATATTCTGGAAGCTGCTGGTAATGGAGCCTCTGTCTCTGTGGGGCTGGTGGCCAACGTTGTAGCCAACCTCATTGCCTTCCTGGCTTTGCTGGCATTCATCAACGCTGCCCTCAGTTGGCTAGGAGGCATGGTCAACGTGCCCCAACTCTCCTTCCAGGTATCTCCCACAAGACCCCCTCCCCCAAGTTGTTTGTGACAGGATAATGAAAATATCAAGAGGCAGGAGGGGTTGTCTGGCTAAATGACGAGGATGTGAGATGCCCAGCCTGACGAGAATCATCTTTGGGAGAAGAAGACCACCTCGTTTCTTCTACTAGTTCTGGGTTTTTTACAATCCATTGTTATTTGAGTGTGCTCCCTTGTAACAATGGAATTGAGGTTCAAACCTTTGGGCCAGTATCAAATTAACCCTGATTTAAGGTATGTACTAGGCCCAATTTTCAACCATCATTTGTTTCAGCAGCTAGTCCAGCTAGAAGCTGTGTCCCACACTCACAAGGCACACACCCTAATCTTGTGGTGTCTAATGGTCGAAACGTGTTGTCAGCTTTGAAAGCCATATTAGCACCAGGAGCTTCCATACAGCCACATTCTTGTGCTTGGGAAATTGCATTATGCATTATGCAATGCTAATATTTCAACTAGACTTTTGTCAAATTTCGGAAAGAGAGGGAGAGCAGAGGGGCCAATGGATGTGTACAGAGGAAACCATGGCAGATGTCAAAAGATGTGATGACCCAGAGTATCTCAGAAATATAACAAAATCCAAAACATAACTAAAAGTCCTTTAATGCCTTCAACTTGGCTTCACTGTTTAATTGTTCGCAGTGGAGGAGTCAAAATAACATTTCAAAGGCAAGAAACACAGTTCACATTCAAAGAGCC